GAACCATGAATGAGTCGGAAAAGGAAATTGAGATTTTATTAACAAAGGAACTAACACAGAAGAAAGGTGGTAGTATCGGTTCTGTGATCGGAAGATTGGTTGGGAAGATATCTCCACTTGTGATCAAGCATGCTCCCAACATCCTTGGTACACTTGGACTGGCTGGTATTTCTGGTGCTATTTCTGAAAGCACATACAGAGCCACAGCTGGTCGAGGAATCGGTCAGTATGTGGAATATGGATTGATGCTAACTCCGAACCAAAAGAAGAAACTTGGTAGTGCTCATGATGGGATCACACTTCGGTTAACAAAAAATCAGTTATCCGGAAATGACATGCTTTTACTCACAAACCGACAGGTTGTCAAAATCCAAAAATCCAAGCAAAAAGGAGTAGGAATGGATCTCAAGTTATCCAATACTCAACTCAAGAAGCAAGGTGGGTTTCTCGGAGCATTAGCAGCTGGATTATTAGCACCAGCTCTGGGAAAAATGATACGTTTAGGAAACACCGGTGAAGGATTACAACTTCCTGGAACACGGAGGGGTAGTGGGGTAAAAAAGACCAAAAAGGAAAAGGGTTACGTCTACCAGGAACGTGAGACCACTGACCAACTTTGACATTGATAAAATGCTGAGATCTATTTCACATTTCAGAGGAACTTTTAGCAAAGATCAGCTTCCACAACCTCTATCATCAAAGGATTGTTTGATAATCAATCTCCAAGATTTCTTGGACGGTGGTGGTACTCACTGGGTTTGTGTGTTTGGTAATGAATATTTTGACAGCTTTGGCTTATCACCACCAGAGGAGGTAGTCAGATGGATGAAGAAGCACCACAAAAAATGTTGCTATAACTCATCAAAGATACAGATGAATGATAGTGTCCTGTGTGGATACTACTGTATACATTTCATAGAAGAAAGAAACAACGGCAGAAATGCTCTTGATGTCTTGTTGGATTTCACTCAGCACCCCAGTCAAGAAAATGAGCAGTTGGTATTGTAAAAAAAGGGAGAAGAAAAAAAAGAGATAAAAAAGATCAAAAAAAGGAAAACACAAAAACCTTTTTTTCTTTCACTAGTTCCTTTTTCTTTTTGGTATTCATTGTATAAGCATCATCAATTTTATCATTCACGGAGCTTGTGGAATATCGATTTTTCATGATGGGATTTGTTGTTTTTTGGATAAGACTTCTGACATTTCTCACAGACAATTCTTTCATTGGCATTTTGTCTGATTTTCTTGTGATTATCTTGGTAATACTCTGATGTGGATCTACCGGGTCTGTTTTTATTCACGGTATCCAATTTTTCGATCCAGTATCGTTCTCTCCTCTTAAGCTCATCTTTATCAAACATTGATAGAGAGTCAATCTCAACAATTTCTACATGTCCGAGATCAAGCAGAATGAATGATGTCACAAAATTATGATTACCTTTTTGATATGCTCTGAAAGTGGATCTATGAAGATACATCCTATTTTTCAGTGGTAGACAAGTGGACCCTACATATACCTGATCGGTGTGTTGGCTCACAAGTTTGTAAATCTTACAAGGAGAAGTCTTCTTATTCTTTCACAAATTCTATCAAACTTGTTGGATCTTACCATAAAACGTGTACAGTTTAGATAAAAATAATTGGTGATATGTGTGGAAAGAAAAAAAGATAGATAGACAAACATGAAAATGTATCACATAATCTGCTGTGGGAAAGTTGGGTTTGGATACTCTCTCTCCAACATTCCACATTTCCGTGAAAATATTCTGGGGGTGAGTTTGGAACTCACGAAAGATGATCAGGAGCATGACACGATCAACATCCACATATTTACCAATAATCCACAGATTTTTTTATCATTGACAAAAGCAGAGCTTGACAAAATGGATTATGGGAGTTTCAGACTTGTTTGTGCTGAAAAGATTGATGAGAGCATGGAAGATCACTGTGAAAATATGGGATTGTTGGCACATCTTTGTATCCATGAGAAATTAAAAAGTAGATAGATAGATAAAGAATAAAGATGAATGTTCATTGCCTATCGTGTAAGAAAAAGCAATAGATGAGGGGAATACAAGGAGAAGTCACATCAACTGGTCAACCATATGTCAAGGGTAAATGCTCAGTATGTGGTCGATCATGTTCACAATTTATCAAGAAATCGGAAATCAGAGAAGGTGGATTCCTGTCCGGTTTGTTCAAGATGATAGGTTTAGGAGTAAAAAAAAGATAGATACGAAATGGACTGACGATCTGGCTGATGAGTTACACAAGCCAAAGCGTGTGAATTTCACAAGGAGACAAGTGACTGTGAGTGAGATTGATGAAATCTGGTCTGCCGATCTCGTGGACATGACAGCTTTTCGTAAATTCAATGATGAAATCAAATTTCTGCTTACTGTCATTGATCTGTTCAGCCGATATGCTTGGGTTGTCCCACTCCAATCCAAGAAAGGTGTTGACATCCAATCAGCATTTCGATCCATCGTGAAAACTAGCAGCAGGAAACCACGTAAGCTGTGGGTTAATCAGGGCACCGAGTTCTATAATCGAACGTTCAAACACTGGCTTGATGAGAATCAGATCACGATGTACAGCACTCACAACGAAGGAAAGGCTGTTGTAGTTGAGCGTTTCAACCGAACTCTGAAAACCAGGATGTGGAAATACTTCAGTACTAACTCCACCAGCAGGTACATCGATGTCCTTCCACATTTGGTAGAGAAGTACAACACGACAAAACACAGAGGTGTTCGGATGACACCAACTGAGGCATCACGGGAGAAGAACGCCGATCGAATCCGTGACTCACTGGGTGAGAAATCTCCACTATCCAGGTCCACTAAATTCCAGGTAGATGACCACGTCCGACTGGTGAAGCAGAAACGACATTTCGAGAAAGGATACACTCCGAACTGGACCGAGGAGGTATTCCGGATCACCGATATTCTCCCGACCAGACCCACTACGTACTCTGTCAAGGACCTCGATGGTGAATCCGTTGACGGGTCGTTCTATGAACAAGAGCTCCAGAAAACTACTCAAGAAATCTACCGGATCGAGAAAGTGCTCCGAAAGGACAACAAGAAGAAACAAGCCCTTGTGAGGTGGAAAGGGTACTCGGCAAGATTCGACAGCTGGGTCCCGTTTGATCAACTCAGCTGGTTGTGAAAAAGCTCCGACTCCGAAACTGAAAAATATGCGAGCTCTGAAAAAGCTCCGACTCGGAAACTGAAAAATATGTGAGCTCTGAAAAAGCTCCGACTCGGAAACTGAAAAATATGTGAGCTCTGAAAAAGCTCCGACTCGGAAACTGAAAAATATGCGAGCTCTGAAAAAGCTCCGACTCGGAAACTGAAAAATATGTGAGCTCTGAAAAAGCTCCGACTCGGAAACTGAAAAATATGTGAGCTCTGAAAAAGCTCCGACTCGGAAACTGAAAAATATGCGAGCTCTGAAAAAGCTCCGACTCGGAAACTGAAAAATATGTGAGCTCTGAAAAAGCTCCGACTCGGAAACTGAAAAATATGCGAGCTCTGAAAAAGCTCCGACTCGGAAACTGAAAAATATGTGAGCTCTGAAAAAGCTCCGACTCGGAAACTGAAAAATATGTGAGCTCTGAAAAAGCTCCGACTCGGAAACTGAAAAATATGCGAGCTCTGAAAAAGCTCCGACTCGGAAACTGAAAAATATGTGAGCTCTGAAAAAGCTCCGACTCGGACTGGGTCCCGTTTGATCAACTCAGCTGCACTGTTTGTGATCACGGATCACAGTAGTAGATTTGTTTGTAGAAAAAAAATCACGGGGTAGATCTACTAACTGTCAACAACTCCGAATCCGCACTCTTGTCAGTACTAATAGGCATAAACAACCACATATGTGTTTGACCCCGATAGCCTGGTTGGTAAATCTACTACACACAGGATACGAAATCGAGAGTCACGGGTTCGAATCCCGGAAACTGAGACCACATGCCACAATGCGCATGTCTGAATCCTGTTTCGCAACAAGAAACTGAGACCACATGCCACAATGCGCATGTCTGAATCCTGTTTCACAACAAGAAACTGAGACCACATGCCACAATGCGCATGTCTGAATCCTGTTTCTGAGAACACATGCCGATGAGCGTGTCTTGTGAAAAAAAAGAGAGAAGAGAAAAAAGAAGAGAAGAGAAAAAAGAAAAAAACCCGAAACCGAAACCGAGACTCCAACCCACGATCTTGTGACTCGAATCCACGGTCAGATCTATCCTTTATTACAGTCCATTCATCGGAAACTGGCCCGCTGGCTTTTGAAAGTCAGATTTGGGCCGAATTGAGGATCAAAAACCCACTTTAAATCTCAAAAATCTGGGTTTTGGATCTGCTTCTCCATACATTTTGTCATGGCATACCTGTCCTAATTGTATAAAACCTGGCTGAATTTCTATTTCCCTGTTCTTGGACTTTTCTGGCCTCGAATGTGGCAAGGAGTAATTGCATGGGTCACACAATGCAGGATGTACTCTTGTTTTCACGATATCTACAACTATGTGAGAGAGACACCAAAAAGTTAGGGTGCCAGTTTCCAATGAATGGACTGTAGAGGGTAGTGATCATACAGTAATGCCATCACTGATCGAAAAAATCCTTGTGTAGTGTAAAGATGGATTTTGACCTGAGCAAACTCACTATCACCTATGACGGGAAGAAACTCAAGACTGAGAAACAACTCCGGTGGATTCATAAAAATTAGACCAAAGAAAGAATCAGGAACTTCTCAAGCAACAGATTCGGAAGAATCGAAAGAATAAGAGGAAACCGATTGTCACACCACCGTTCACAGTCTCAAAGTCAGTACCCAAAGGGATTCTGAAATCGTTCATCTATGAACCGAAAGAGAATCATCCAGATCTGTATATATTCTTTGATAGTATCAACATCCCACTGAGAACATTGATACAGAAAGAACTGGAAAATCTCAAGTGTGTGAAAGTCAGTCTGACATTACAAGTAGAAATGGAGAAAGGAGATGACACAACAACCACTGACACACCATACTTCAGGAGTGGACCAGTGACAGTCACAACATCCCATGAGATTGATGACAGCATTCAAACGGCGCACTCACAAATTCATAGAAATATCGATAAGTGGATACAGAATGGATCAAACTGGCACATCAATCATATCGTCGGATTTTACGTTGATGTAGCAGCATATCAGCCAATGAAAGGTAAATCCTACATTGATTTACCGAACGAGCTCAAGAAAATGAAGGCAATCATCAATGTCAAGAATAAGGATGATAAATGTCTGATGTGGGCACTGCTCTCAGCTCTGTATCCAGCAAAGAAAAATGGTGACAGGGTAACTCAGTATAGAGACTATAGCAACAAACTTGATCTGTTCGGAATCGATTTTCCAACACCACTGAGTCAAATTTCTAAAGTCGAGAAGCAAAACAGCCTAGCTATCAATGTCTTTGGGTATGAAGATAACGTGATCTATCCACTACTACTGACAAAGAAAAGAGGTCAGGAAGTGATCAATCTTCTACTATACCAAAAAGAAGATCAGAATCACTACTGTTGGATCAAAGATTTCAGCAGATTGTGCTACGATCAGTCAAAGCATAAAGCCAGGAAATTCTTCTGTACAAGATGTCTACAACCACACAACACAGAGAAATCCCTAAGCAATCATCAGGAGTATTGTGATAATGTCACTGGATTATCAGCACACATGTTACTACCAGAACCGGATGATGATGGAAATCAACCAACACTGAAGTTCATTAATCATCACAAAATGCTACAATGTCCCTATGTCATCTATGCTGACACCGAGGCACTGATCAAGAAAATTGATGGAGTGAAAAGCCAACAAACCAGCCGGGATTCACAGCATGTTCCTTGTGGTTTTGGTTACGTCGTGGTGCGTTCTGACGGAATGATGACAAGTCAGTGTTTCTATCGAGGTGCTGATGCCATGGATGTATTCTTTGATAAACTCAAAGATGAGGAGAAGAAAATCCAATCAGCACTCAAAAATCCAGCACCGATGGATCTCACTACGGATCAAGAAAATTGTTCAGAGAGACAGAAGACTGTTGGATTTGTAAAAAGAAACTTGGTGATGACAGAGTCCGTGATCACGACCACATCACTGGTGATTTCCGAGGTGCCGCACACAATGACGGTAACATCAAACTGAGAATTTATCCATACAAGCAGCACATCCCTGTGGTTTTTCACAACCTGAAAGGCTATGACAGTCATCATCTCATCGGAGCAATCGGAAAGACAGATGTTGAGACCGTCACATACACGGATAAGGATGGTGTGTGTAAGAGTAAAACTGTGGGTGAGATATCAGTCATTCCCAACAACACGGAGAAATTCATCTCATTCACATGGAGACAGTTCCGGTTCATCGACAGCTGCCAGTTTCTCAATGCGTCACTCGATAGACTGGTGAAAACGACACCAGATGACTCATTCATTTTCACCAAGACGTTGTCAAACCATCAGCTGTTGATGAGGAAAGGAGTATACCCCTATGAGTACATGAACAGCTTCTCCAGGTTCGATGAGACTCAGCTACCAGCACAGAGTAAGTTCTATTCTTCACTGTCTGATGAGGGTGTGAGTGACGATGACTACAAACATGCTGAGACAATGTGGATGAAATTCGACTGTCAGACTCTTGGTGATTATCACGACTTGTATCTCAAGACCGACGTGTTTCTCTTGGCTGACATCTTTGAGAATTTCAGAGTAGAAGCTGTCAGAACGTATCAGCTGGATCCAGCAAATTACTACACTCTGCCTGGATTTGCCTGGGATGCTCTGTTGATGTACTCAAGTGTGTCCTTGGAATTACTAACAGACTATGATCAGCACTTGTTTGTAGAATCAGGAATGAGAGGCGGTGTGTCGATGGTCTCACAACGATATGCTGCTGCTAAAAATCACTATCAGGAGAAATTTGATGCTGATCAGCCATCGTCATTCATCCAGTATCTCGATGCCAACAATCTCTATGGTTGGGCAATGTCACAGCATCTCCCAGTGTCTGATTTTCGGTGGGAGAAACCATCAGAGAAACTCCTGAACAAGATACTGAACACTCAAGATGATTCCTCATCGGGGTATATCGTCGAGTGTGATCTGGTTTATCCACACGAACTTCATGAGGAGCACAACGATTATCCAGTTGCTCCGGAACGTCTTTCCGTCAATGAAGACATGCTATCTCCATACCAGCAGGAGCTTGTTGATAAACTCAATTCTTCCGGAGTAGATGCTCTCAAACTTGTACCAAACTTGAAGGACAAGACAAAGTACGTTCTCCATTACCGAAACTTGAAACTCTACACTCAGCTCGGACTACGTTGTGTCAAAATTCATCGTGCTCTGAAATTTACTCAGACACCGTGGATGAGAAACTACATCGAGAAGAATACAGACCTCCGGAAGAAGGCAAAGGGTGATTTCTCTAAGGACTTCTATAAACTGATGAACAATGCGGTGTTCGGGAAAACTATGGAGAACGTTTGGAGGAGAGTCAACATAAAACTGCTGAGAAGTCGTGAGGAGAAAAAATCAAACAGCTTGTGGCCAAACCAACGTACAACCGCCATGTGATCTTTAACGATGACCTGGTCGGGGTACAAAGTAACAGGACAAAGGTCGTCCCCAACAAGCCCATATATGTTGGGATGTCGATTTTGGATCTCTCAAAGACACTCATGTATGACTTTTACTACAATCACCTGAAAAAGTTGTATGACTCTGATGTCAGACTCTTGTACACCGATACAGACAGCTTGGTTCTTCATTTCTTTACTGATGATCTGTTTCATGACATGAGTGAGTTTCTTGAGAAGTATGATACAAGCAATTATGATCAATCCGAGTTCAAAGATGAACTCGGTGGGAAACTGATAACTGAGTTTGTGGGACTTCGTTCCAAGATGTACAGTTACTCTGGTGAGGAAAGCGGAAAAAGAGCAAAGGGGGTGAAAACAGCAGTGCTCAAGAAAACTATCACACATGATGATTTCCGAAATTGTCTCTTGGATCAATCCGTGTTCCATCGAGAAATGACAACACTCCGGAGTCATAGACACGTCATTTTCGGAGAAACAGTTAATAAGATAGCCTTATCACCATTGGACACAAAACGATACATCACAGAAGATGGATGTAGCACGTTAGCGTTCGGACACCATGAAATACCAAGATATCTGGCTGAGGAGGGGTTTGATAGCAGCATTTCATTCATGAGTTATGCTCCGGACAAGCAGTTTGTCCAGTGATTATGAGAAAGAAAAAAAGGAAAAAAAGGAAAAAGAAAGAAAGACTTCTTTTTTTTACTTTTTCTTACACATTCGATTCTCTATAGTTCTCCCATATGGCATCAAGTCTTTGTTGTGACTTTTTACACCTTGGAATGAATGGTTTGATCTTGATCACATCATCTTCATCATCAATGAGTTTCGAAAGTAGGAATGGATAACTCACTTTGACTTTTTTCTCTTTATTTGCTACTACCTTGATCTGCTGAATTTCATCAACAAGATTGTTGAATGGGGTTTTGCTAAGATATTTTGGTAAACCAACCTTGTTCAGGGTTATCTCCAACCTTGTTTCGATTCCTGTTCTGGTTTTGGATTTTTCTATTTCTTCGAAGAAAGATGTGGTATCATACAGATCATTTTTCGTCATCTCATACACCTCAAGATCCTCTGGAGCTACTTCATTTTCCAAAATCATCAATTCTATATCTGTAGGAAACCATTCCTGGTTTCTATAGTCAATGTAGTCCGCTATCATCTTATCTTTCCTGGTAGAGTGTTCATCATCTATCCATGTATCCATCACTTCTTCTTCTTTGTTTGTGGAGTAGTCGTCATCAAACCAGGCATCCATGATTTCACTTCTAAAAAAAATATTTTTTGCTTTTTTGCTTTTTGTGGATTGTTTGACTATTTTTACAAATTGTTTGCTGAGAATTTCACTTCTTCTTTCTGGAAATGCTTTATAGCAACAGCAACAAGTTTGAGACTGAGAGTGTCATCGGTCTTGTCTTTGTAAACCCATTTCAGGTGAACAATACCATTGACGGTGTCACCTTGCTTGATCTTGTTGGTTTTTGATGGTTTGTTATCCTCATCAAAGATAGCCCAATCAGGAGAAATCTGGAGAAACAGGATTGGGTGCTCACATTTTGCTGTGTTAATTCTGCTTCTAACCACATTTCCTTCGGATTCTATCTGCTTCTCGATACAACGGATGGATTTACAAATGTCACTGTCAGTAGAAAATTTCAGAGAGTCCTCTTGTCCTTTCCTCACAACATTCATGATATTTGTCTCATCAGTGAATTTTATGTATGGTTCCTTACCATAGATTGTCAGTGAACCACATTTATTCCCATCATTGATGATGATTCGATAATGATTGAAGTCATTGAGAACAGTAGCTGTGTCAAACGGAGTAGGTTTCTTGCTTGTCATCTTGGAAAGTTTGTGTAGAATCATTGGTTATACCAATGGCAACCGTTCCTCTAATACAGAATAATTAGGAATCCTCACCCAAAGCTGAACCACCCGAAGTTGGCTCAGAAACCGATCCCACATCAGTCCTCGAAGTGAGCAAAGATGGGGTAAGGGAAAAAGCTGAAGTTGGCTCAGAAACCGATCCCACATCAGTCCTCGAAGTGAGCCAAGATGGGGTAAGTGAAAAAGCTGAAGTTGGAAACCGATCCCACATCAGTCCTCGAAGTGAGCCAAGATCGGCAAAGTGAAAAAGCTGAAGTTGGCTCACTTCCGATTTTCTCGGAGACAGCAAGTTGACTCACTTTTCTGGAACTGGGTTGAGCCAACATGGGATCAGTGTTTGGAGTTGTAAAATTAGTACTTGGAGGTGTAAAATTAGTACTTGGAGTTGTAATATTAGTACTTGGTGTCTATCCTTTAGTATTATAGCAATAAAAACTGCTTTATGGCAGTTTTCTAAAAAAAGTTATTGTGTTCTAGTCCATGGACCCCGTCTAAAAAGTAAGAAATTAACGAAATGTGATAGCTGAAAATTAAAATTTCACACAAAACCTCACAATAATCACAACACTTGAAATGCTGCTTTCAACCAGGGAGTAGTACAATACTACTCCCTGCTTTCAACACTAAACTTGTACTGCACCAACAATTGGCAACATGCATGCATAGGAAAGAGGATCGCGAGGGGAAGAGGTCTTCTGCATGTAGCTTTTCATTCTGTGTGTGATTATTGTGAGGTTTTGTGTGAAATTTTAATTTTCAGCTATCACATTTCGTTAATTTCTTACTTTTTAGACGGGGTCCATGGACTAGAACACAATAACTTTTTTTAGAAAACTGCCATAAAGCAGTTTTTATTGCTATAATTTCTTTTGTTTTTTCTGTCACCAATCAATGGAATGCCCTATATCAATATGTAAATGATGGCCTTCACATCATATCAATACCATATTATACGCATTGATGTGCAAGCCTTTTCTTGCAGAAAATGGCACTAGCATAATGCATGTTCTTCTGCGGGTAAACATGTGAGCATGCAGTGGTGGTTATACTTTTTTTATACGGAGGTCATTCTGTGCATGTTGCTGTTGCAGAATTTCATGACTCTGTCATAAAATTGTCTTGCCTTTCAGATATTTCAGATTTCTCCACCCTCAATCAGATTTATTTGAGAAATGTAGCCATGCGGCAGGTGCGTGTCGCAAATGTTTTTTGTTGATTCTGTGTTTATAATGGTTTATAGTCATGGGTTATCGTGATAAGGTCATCCAGCATCATGTTGAAACTGAAATCGTAATCCTGTTGATGTCGATACAACTTTTGGAAGTAGTTCAATGACTTCAAACTGTTAGTCCACGATTGTCTAAAACAACACAGCAAAGGAGGAACAATAAACATGTATTAAAATGTAAACGAATACATTGCTGAGTCCAAAACCTCGTTCCAACAACTACACTGTTCCTGAGGAGAAAAGGTACAAGGCTATGGTTGGAGGTACTGAGAGATAAACAAGGCACTCCACAATAATAAAATCTTACACATCTTTTGGTGAGTATGAATGATATCCAGTCGAACCTCTTTAGGACGAACACCAAGGGACCGATGGTATTTATTCTGTGAGCTTAACCTATTTTATAACCGGAGAATACAATTATATCTCCAATAGACATACGAATAGATTTCTTCTACGGCGAAAGATTCTAAGCCACACCAACTCATTGCCTCGTCTCGTATGAAACAATTGAGTCACTAGGGAGATTCTGCAAAACGAAAATGCGTACAAACTTTCGCTCTACATCATGAAGTGCGAAACTTCGCACCTTTGGACGCGAAACTTGCAGGGAACGCGAAATGAACTGTCGTAGGAAATTTCGTGAGGTCGGGTCATGGCGTAAGTGCACTTGGCCCGCGCAAACTACGAAAATGTGCAGAACGCAAAGTTCGTGCAAAAATTCGCACACACTTTCGCAAGGACTGTCGCGAAACTTCGTTCGAATTTTCGTTTTGCAGAACCTCTCTACTGAACCTTTCTTTAGCAACATGACGGCAACTCAAACAGCAACAGAGAAAGTACGATACATGTACTCCACATTCTTACAGGTACTACAAACAGATTGCAGATCGTAATTCTTGCTTTGGCGGCACGAAACTTTATTTGAGGCAGTGCAATCTCGGCGGTACTCACAAATCAAACAGCCCAGACTTGAGTAAACAAATCCAATCATACAAGTACGAGATTTTCACGAGACGAGTCTGCACCCATTGGCTTGTTTCGTATGAAACAAACAAGTTACTGAACCTCTCCACAATAGAGATTTCCCCTGATATGCGAATTTATTTTGCAAACTCGGTCAATTGGTACTTGAACCTTTCCCTCCAGATTGGGAACTGCCAACGATAGTATGCCACTGACCAGTGCCTTACTTGTAACGTACCAATGTACAATGAATATGAGTATTTCGACAACACATCTAACATAAGCCTTACCGTCAAGAAGTTGAACTCGCGTTCTTCGCACACTGCAGACAAGGGCAAAGAGATAAAAATGGATCTAAATCCGAATAAAATCAGCACACGTTTCCGTAAATGAAAGGTGAACATAAGCAAATGAATTGAAGGAAACCGGTCAACTTAGAGATCACCTGTCATCGAGTATTCCGTAAAAGGAGGCCTCGCAGCTCGGCAGCAGAAAAGCAAAATTTAGAAAAGAGATCCTGTCAACTTTTCCATTATTTATTGCATTCCGCCCCAAAATCAGCACACTTTTCCTGAATGAAAGAGTCAACACAAGCAAATGAATCAAAGGCAACTGGTCAACTCACCTGTCATTGAGTAATATTCCGCGAAAGGAGGTCTCAGCAGCGCCGAAACGAAATAAGCCAGGCCATGAGACGAAATATCCGAAACAGCTCATGCATGCAAGAAGCAGTTCCAAAGAAGGAAGTTCCTCGCGCATGCACATCCGAACACGGATCCGCGGACTGCATGCACTGAACACAATGTCTGCCGTGCACGTGCACAGCACACGGCTACCACGCGTTGGTAGATCTAATACCGAGCACCTTACGTAGAGACTTACGTAGC